TCTTACTTGTAAAGACAATGATTCTGCACTTAATGAATGCATTGATATTTATAAATAAAATGGCCTCTCTGTCTATTATTGTCAGGTTTCAGGGATAGTGGTCCTAAGGATCTCGGTTGTATCCCAACGTCTAATTAACCTGGTATATTTAGTTTTAGAGTAATTAAAAAAAACATGGTTAATTAAAAATGCATGGAAAAATGTGATGACAAAATAAGACGTCTCCAATATGTCTTTACCTTTTAAACCAAAGAAAACCAAGATATAGAGTTTCATCTGTTGCTGAATGACAAACAACACATCACTCTAACCTTTATGGCACATTAGGCATATTACTCCGTGTTGTATCAAAGTGATTTGGACATCTGTGTGTGATCGTTCTCCTGCCTGAACCGACGCGTTTGATGTATTTGTACTGACAACGTCTGACAACTGAGACATTTCACAGTTAAATGAAGACATTTACTGTCACACCCTACCAGACCGTTTGGATCTCATGCAGACATTTTAATCCCTCTATGCTGTTGCTGTGTATGCGCTGCCCATCAAACATCCTCAGACGTAATACCACAGAGAGCAGACACAAGGTCAACCTCCATGCTAGGAGCTTCTCGATCAATACGCTCAGACATTTAAGAGCTCCAATCCAACTATTTTTTTTTTTTTTTTTTTTTTAACTGAACTTTTTTCTACTCGTTCGTCCCATTTTGTATTTCCAAGCAGCGGCAGCAGCACTTAAGGCAGTCTTCTTAAATTGTTCTTCAGAACACCCAAAATTCACAAAGTCACCTGGAGAGTTGAGAAAACTCTTAACTCAAAATTGAGGCAGCTGGAGATTAACGTCCAAGCATTTGGACTGTGGATTATTCTATTGTGTACGGCTAAGGACATACTTAAGAATGACAACAAAAAGTAATCATAGGGTCAGTGTGAAGGGTGACGCCCCACTGTGATTGGCTTAGAGAACTGACCAGGAATGTTTTTTATTTTTATCTTCAAGATCAGAAAATTGAATCATGAAACAAAGTGACCTTATGAAAAGGATTAAAACCACAGTATGAAGCGGTGGAGGTTAAACCTGTTTAAAAGGCCGGCACTTCACATAGAGGTTTCTTAATTAGATTGGCTGACCTAAGCATCTGGGCTTCTATAGTTGAGTGTGTGTGAGCACCATTGTGTGTCTACTTGTTTGTGCAAGAGGCACGTCAAGTGGCGTGATAGTTTGGTGCCCCAGTATTTGGCTCTGCTGGAAGAGGAGTGACTGAAGTGAGTGTTGATTAAGTCGCCACAACCAAAGTAGTTCAAATGTCAAAATTGAAATTACTAAACCACTGCGTAGGGCAGTACGTCTAGTGGACTTTAAACCACAACTGTTTGAACTAAACTATTAGTTGGGTTTGTGAGTGTTGGCATTAACAAAACACAAAAACATACACACGGTCTCAATGTTCCTGAGCACTAAGTACAAACTATAGGGAGGCAGTATTTAAAATAAAATACATTATTGATGTTAAAGCTCTGCTCACTTTCTGTAACCTTGGCTACATTTAATCTTTTTTGTTTTATGTATCTAATCCTGAGTTTGATTGGTTTATTACTCTCTACTGTGACAACAGAATGAGTCTGAAGACTTTTGAATGAAACAGCCTTCTTTTAATGAGAAGATAATAGGACCGTATCCAGTGATCACACAAATTAAAATACCCAGGACAACCCTAACACATTGTTTTATATGTGTTTATTTTATTAATTTTCTAATCTTTCTAGAAGAGGAGTTATTTTGTATTTTGGTGAGGACACATTGTCCCTCCATGATGTTACCATTTGCGTGTACTTCAGTCGGCTGCGTGGTGTGTACTCTCACCCAGAGTACTGGCAATGGAAAGGAAAGCGTGAGTTGCAGAGTTGTCTAATTTCCAACTTCTTGATTGCACTGGAAGTAACGCGGAGAACAAAAGGCTGAGTCGAGCCAGACTGAATTATTTCTTGTGAATTTTACTGTAGACCTGAAGTTTATTGCCAGTCACTTAAAACAAGCATCGAATGAATCCAAGCAAAATGTTGAGGTTTTCACGAGAGAATTCACAGGCTGGATTACCTGCAAGAATATTTGCCTGAGAATGTGAGACAAGGACACAGACTTATCTGGCCACGGGGCAACTTATCCCGGTACGTTCAGGCAGCCAGCGTTTCCTGCTTCTATCTGACCTTATCCCTCTTCTTGTCTGCTTTCTTCTTCTTTCAGTAATACACTTTGTTCTGTTATGCAGGCAGTGCACCACCAGGGACTGCAATGTCGGCAGGTCAGACAGCTTACTGCTATTGGATTAGAATGGCATTATTAAATTTGTACATTCATTCATGGGACCCAAAGGATGGCGCCCCATGTTGGTGAGGATTCACAGTGACATTCTGTGACAAATATTGGATTGATTACTGCAAAGACTTGAGATTTGATAAGACTTTGGATGACTTTGGAGTTTCCGACATTTAG